AGGAATGCCAGTGGTGACTGACAGACGCGTGGACAGGGGACGCCCCAGGGATGAGCTTGACACTGGCGGCTTGTACAGGTTGTATCTAAAAGCAGGAAATCTAGAGGAGAGGGATAGGAGTGGGCCCCTGGTGGCCTGGGAGCAGGGTTTGGTGCTCAGAGAGCATACATTTCAAGATCCCCTTTCATCTTCTCCACTGTAAGTCTTTGGAGGGTCCCAAAAGGTGTCGCATGGAGAGAGGATGAAGTGGAAGGGCACACAGGCCCACCATGGTGACACCACCACAGTGATGCAATGGGCTGAGGCCAGACGGAATCCATAGCCAGGTGACTGGGGTGGCCACAGGCTGTGAGCCCTGAAGCCAGCACACTCATTAGAGGGGGGGATCGGTCCAGCAGAGCAGTAAAGAGCGCAGGCTTTGGGCCTGGACCTACCTCCTGGCTACTTCTGTGACAGTGAATACAGAATACCACCACGTGAAACCTTGGGTTACATTTCTGAACAATTGGGATAATAAAATCCACCTGATGAAAATTCCTATGAGGAGTAAGTGAGGTGAGGAGACTACATTTGTAAAGTTCTTAGCACACGGAAAGCAATTAGTGTTACAACCAGTTATGATAAGTTTTCACTTATGCCTAACTTCTGTTACTTATGGTTGAGATCCAGCTGGTAAGTGATAGAAGTGAGATTCAAATCCAGGTCTGTCTTGATCAAAACCTAAGCTTTTGGGGCTACAGTTCCTTTGAACCTGACCTTGTTTTGGGAGTCACGGCTCCTGGCTGCTGACCACCCTTGAAACCTCCCTCTCCCATGGCCGCCCATCATGACTCCATAACAGGACTTGCCCTACTTCCCAGACCCTCCATCCCCACCTTGCCACTGTTTTCACCTGCTGGGTCCTTGCTCTGTTCCCCACAGACTCACCTGTACTATGTGAAATTCTCATTCAGGTGTCACTTGTGCCATCTCCCAAACACCGGCAAGCCACCAGGCTGCTGGGAGGACACCAGAAGGCCTCTCTCCAACACGACATCTTAACAGACCCCTTTACTATGACTCTAAACACTCCATGTCCCCTTTTCTGGCTGCTTTGCCTTTCCCTGTCCTTAAAGCACATGGATTCCCTCCACTTTTCTTCTTGTTTTTCTTTTCTTCTCTTAATTTATAATATATTCTCTTTTGAAGATTAAGTCCATCTCTATGGAAATAATCATAAATCTAGTTACAGTTTGTATCCTAAGCTTCAAGGCCAAATGTTCAAAGATGGCAGATGCTAGTGAACTATCCAATCTCTATTCCTGTCTGATTCTACATGCACAGAATCCTAATTTATTTGCAAGAGTAATTTGCACAGTTAGAAATATTCATTTTTCTCCTGCAGCCGACCTGAGGGTTTCCAGTGATGTTCCAACAGTATTTCTCCAAGGACAGTATTTCTGGTAGGACAGTATCACTGTCTGGAAGACCTCAAGGAGATGGGGACAGTTGACTGATAAATGTTTCCTTCCGGGTGCTGCCTCGGTTTGTTATTGTCACATACAGCAGGTGACTGGGGCACCAGCAGGTACAGGTTTTACCCTCAAGCACAGTTTACTGGTGATGTGCTTGTGCTTTAAACTTTTAATTCATTTTATTTTTTATTGTCTTAAGAGGAACATCAAGCAGGGTCTGATCTCAGGTTAAACAGCTTATTTTGTT